GTTCTTTGTCAGGACTTGAGATCAATCAGTCATCAACATACTCATGTGCGAAGTTGAGACATTTAAAGAAGTCTTTGAAGAATCTTAAGAAAGTTCACCCTGCGTTTCTTAAACCGAATGGCATGTGTGAAAATTTCGTAGATCCAGGGAAAGATCGTTGTGAAGACCTTAGAGATATTTGGGAGCTCCCGTGGTCATGACGAACAATAAGGTAACGTGTCAGAGTATGACGGAGGTTTGTGACATCATTTCATGTCATTTGAGGATTTTGTTTGACTGAACGGTTCACGGTGCTGGGAGTTCTGTTGAACACCAGTCTGGATGGTAGATGAAGCTTGTTCGTTTACAAAGTTTTTTTGAAATCGGACAAGCACTGTCTGCACCTGTTGGGGAAGGTTAGACAAGAATAACTACCTAAATATGTCTTCGTCAAAGGTTCATTGACCAATGACCTCTCACATTCATAGCAACATGTCTGTTGCTGAGCCATATTGTAGATCAACCTTGTTGAAGAGATGGTCTAACCTTTGTCGATCAGTCAGATCTTCACGCTTAAGAATAGCTTCTGTTTAGAGTTTTGTAGGATTCCGAGACATCACTAGTAAACATATATGTGTGATGTTATAACAACCATCCTACAATCAATTTGGATTATAGTAAATTCGGGTTAGGCCTTTTTGATATGTCTGAAGCGTTACGAATTCACTAGCAGCAAACGGAACAAAGACTTGTGACCAAGGACCGATAAGCTAGCTATTCTGACACGACCCAGCTAACTAGAGTAAGAAGTCCAAGTTGGAAGCGGAGAAGTTATATTCCGTAGCAGTCAGAAGCACAGCAATCCAATAAGGGAAAGAGTCAAGCGTATATATACAGCAACAGAATGTCCTTTGGCATCATTAATAAATAGCACACACAAAGAAACAATGGACCAATAGCGTTTAAGACAGTTACAAGTGGGAAATATGATGTGAAGGTAAAAAAAGAAGCGCGTTTGGCGCAAGAACAGCTAAATTCAAATTTCCAAAATTAAGCCACTTATCAAGTAATTTCTGGAGATTTGACATCCCCAACATCTTTTCATAAACTTACTTAACAGACATCGTCATTTGGATAATAACAATTCGCATATTCTTCGCACTGTTATACCACTAGAGCACATGGGACTCTAGTTAAAATGCTCACTGCTTAAGTATCATTCGATGACTCATACTCCTCCCCATATATGTGTACACACAAATACTATCATCAGTCTCTGTTTTTTTTGCTGTGCCCTTATTAAATTTGACTATAAATTGCCTATGTAATTGCTTGCTATTCGCTTCGCTTGTTCACTCGCTCGCTCGTTGATATTCGCTCAGGTGCTGTTAGCTTTCTGGCCTGAGTTATTTGACAATAAACTGTAGTTGCTGCTATCCTTTGTCTTCTGATTTTACGCACCGTTAAGATTGGAAATATAACGGTTATCGAAGTGAACGATTGACGAAGCACGGCACTACAAACTATCTTATTTACTCGGCGAGACTCAAGAACATGGACAAGCCAATCAGAAGCTTTCGCGGGTTTTCAAAGTCACGGCGCTAAGTTCGGTACCTGACGCTTACGTACGGTCGGTTAACAACGGGTTTTAGAGAAAACATGATAATTAAGCGTCTACAAAATAAGTTATCATAAATTTTGGCGCAAAATTCAATTATACATTTGGATAGAGTTGTGGCATTATAGCTGATGTCAGTTCGTGATGAAAACCCTAAGTATAATTCCTAACCTTAACCATGAACTGTAAATCATAATTTGAATTCTTCACACGGGTTTATAACCCTCATTTAGTCTTAGTTATTACGTTTACACTCTCAGATTCACTCTAGCGTCGCTCAAATGTCGTCCATAATTCATAGTCTCATTTTTAACCCTAAACCGTAACCCTAATCTTAAACCCTAAACCATACCAACATACCGACAACACTGAAACTATGTGGTCGAGGCTGAAAGAATTTTCGGGACTTTATCATGGTTCCAGAGGTCGACTACTATGGAGCCACATGGATGAGTTCCTGTGCCGGGTGCACTATGATTTCAGAACTTCTGAACCTATATCTGACCTTGATAAGTTTTTGATTCATATAAAAGAGCAGTATCCCCTTTAATTTTTGAGTTTTATATATATTTTTACTGTATGCTAACTGTCTTCCGATTGGCTAATATTTCTCAAGGTCGTTTAAGATTCGTTCAAAGGTCGTCCATGTTCATTAGTCTCGCTATTTACTCTATTAAAGCTATAGCGTGCAGTATAAGCTCAATTTGGATTTTGAAACCCATCAGTCTTGTGAGCCGATGAATCTAGACACAAATACTGATCATGAAACCGTTAGATCTCAATGAGGAGCTTGTAGAGTTGAACTGACTCCAAAAGCTTTCGTTCTATATTATCTTGCAAAGCTTTTCAATATGGAAGTTAGTTAAGTTTCTGTAGTCTACTATTTATACAAGATTTGTGTACTAAATGATCAAACGTAAATCACGGATATTTCAAGTCATTACCCTTATCTAGGTAAACTAGTGAATATTTTACCTACACATCTACTTGACAACAAGTCATTGTCCGAATGTCCACTACAGTTGAAACCTAAAATAAGTCACCGAAAAAATAAAGAGGTTTTGACGTTGAACGTTTCATTCTATAGTATAACTGACAAACTCCCAATATGTTATTTTCTATAAATGAACTAAATTAATGCACCCTATTGATCTGTTACACTTCACGCGATAGAAATATTCTTGTTTTTGTCAGGATTATTAGCATGTTTCACTGCAAGTAACGAAGTAGAGCAGAATGTAAACAAGAGAGATTAACGAAATATTTTCGGCTGAATTATGTCCAAGTATATGTATAAATGTGTCTAGACGTAGGATATAAAGATGTAAACAAGCAAAAATAACCCACATAATTGACGATATGAACATGAGTTATCACTTTTTATTCAGTATTAAAGTATTAGAGCAAGGATAAAGATATCCTGCTTATGTAACTTGCAAAAGTTTCGGAAGTTTCCATAAAATCTTAAGAATTAGAATCGTGCACATTATCATAAAAGGAAACATATATAAAGTCATCAATCATAGACTGTTGTAGGCTGAGAACTACTGAAAACTAAGAGGAGTCGGAGAGCTCTTTCGTCCTAGTCAGTGACTCACCGACAGTGCACAATCAAACACTGCTCATTTACTTGGTAATGACTTACTAAGTAGCGAACTGAATAGAATATTTGGCTTGTCACACAACAAACTGTCTGAAGTCATAAGTCTCTGTCTAGTATTTTGCGAACACGGAAAAGCTTGTCGATAATTCCAACTTATGGACTGGAAATCAATTGATGTACTACGGTGACAACACCGTTTGTTTGGTTACCACTTCTAATAGAAGTACTTTCAAGATTATATCTACATCAGCAACAGGATTAGTGAAGACAATTGAGAAATACTTTAGTTTAAGGTTCATATGGACTGGAGCCTATTGTTTTAAACAGACAAGCATTTAAATGATTCCACTAAATCACGTCAATGAAATAACAGTAATACAATTCGCTTCGTATAGAAAAGTAGATAACGAGGAGCAGAAAGCCCTGTCAGTCAGTCAGTCAGCTACAACGTAGAACCAGGCACATATATGCAAGTCCCATTAGAAGTTAGTAAAAATTATCTAGATGAACATTTAAAAGTAAAATTAGACACAGGGTGAGACTGAGTTGTTAAAAATAACTCATTGTCTATGCATGAAAAAAAGTAGTTCGTAAACCAGTTTGAATTCGGAATAGTAGTGAGATTCACACAACCCGACAACGACTTCTTCATGTCTGATAAATTATTTGGAATACTCCAAATGAGCCCACTCACCTTACTACCGTTTAATTCTTCAAAGCTTAAACTCTCTTAACGCGATTGCTCTTAAACGTGCACGGGTGGCAAATGCAAAGTAAGATGTAGACATTGTAGTGCCGTGCTTCGATAATAGTTCACTTCGATAACCGTTACTATACCAATCTTAACGGTGTATAAAATCAGAAGGCATAAGGAAGCGGCAACTACATTTTTATTGATAAATAACATGGGCTAGAAGGCAGTGAGCACATTAGCAAATGCAAGCGAGCGAAGCAAAGATGATGCGTATTGGAGATGGCTGGGAAGCCAACTCGATTTAAGCAAGCATTAATCAATATTTATAGTCGAACAAAAATGAATGACAGACATATGATGAATAAGATACGAAGTGTGCACATATATGCTCATATAAAAGTATAGTCAATGTTAATAAGCAAATGATTAACAAGATCAAAATATGACTCATAATGGATAGGCGAATTGGCTTGGCCAGCAACTAGAATAAAGTATATGGGCTTAACATATAAACTGATACTACAACATCAGATGTTTGCCTCTCGAAAGACCTAGTCTGTTATAGAGAACTGCTAGACATTACCGATGGGACCGAACATAAGTGTGACTGGAATATTTATTTAATTGACCGATTCCTAGAATTCGTTTTGAATTAATGAAAAGCTCTTGTTTTCGATCAACATGTGAGTTGACACTAGGAATCTAGTAATTGGAATGTTCAGGACTATTACTTCTTCACCATCATCGGTCATTATTTTTCAACTAATAATTTGTATCTGTGAGACTTTTGTACGTGACTAACCGAACATCTCTTTGGGAAGATTACGCACGTATGGATGCCTGTGTAGTGACTGCGAAAATACAGAGATGCCTTCGCCCAACGCAGGCGACAACTTTTCGGTTTCCTAGTTAGTCTTACTCGTTTATTTCACCTCAATAATTTAAGAACTGATAACGTAAACCGAATACATAAAAGAATAATCAGCTAATGTGGAAAACACTTTGTAATAGATGACCAAGGACGTTTCAAACAACGTCTCTGAGTTGGGCCATTCGCAAGAATTATGGTTACTGGTTGAAGACTCTGGGCGGTATCATTTAAAATCGATCATTCAACTTAAATATTCTTTTTGTTCCGCATTATAACGATAATCGGCATATTCAGTTTTTTTCATAGTTATTTTACTACTTTGTCAATCCAATCTCCCTGTAATTAATATTTGTTAGGTCTTACATTGCTTGGAGAGCACATCGTCAGAGCACAAAAACCCTAATTTTGAAATTGATTTACGCTCAGTCGGTAAGGCTCAAAATATATTACACGAAATCATACTCATTTAGCTACATGCCAGAGAATCCACGCAATATTAACCAAGGACCAACAACATGATCGACTGTATCCAAGATCGTTGTGCATTGCGTTAATCCGCTATTCCATGACATGCATAATTGGTTAGGGTGAATTAATAGACGGTTGCTAAAAACATGATTATGAAGTTTATTAGCTAGAGTTATACTGTTATTAGGTGTACTGAATGTAAACATGGTTGTAAAGCTATTTCCTAGTCCACTTAAAACTATTTCTCCTGACGCTATCTGAAACAAAAGATCCACAACTACCGGTAAGTCACTGACGTGATAGTCACTAATTGTTGACCAAAGAGCTTGATTTTAAACTGTAGAGAAACAGGTTTGTCCTATTTCGCTTAAAAGAACTGTACAACATAGCTGACTCATACGCGATAGGCGTAATAAAGTGGAACATGCGAGGAAAGGGAAGCAAATGAGTTAAATAAAGTGATCATCTACAGATCATTATTGTGGTTGAAAAGCGTCTAAAGAATAAGTATTTTCACACTATAAACTTACGAATAATCAGTGTCATATAAATTAGAGAACGTAGTGGTTAGGGTTAAAAACACGCAAGTTCAATAACAATATTGCTGGTGCATTTACGCTGCCTCAATACAAACTAATATTTTCGTAGGTAAAGTGAGCCATAAAGTTCGTTATATGCGTTCTTTTAATCAGGCGTCAATATTAACCAAGGTGGCCTAACAAGGACCAACAACATTGATCGACTGTATCCAAGATCGTTGTGCATTGCGTTAATCCGCTATTCCATGACATGCATAATTGGTTAGGGTGAATTAGCTAGAGTATTACTGTTATTAGGTGTACTGAATGTAAACATGGTTGTAAAGCTATTTCCCAGTCACTTAGATAAACTACGAGCATACACCTGAAACGTCCAAACTAGTCGCACAAACCGAGATGAATGCGTGGTTCTAGATCAAACACAAGTAGCCCGTCCAGGATAACAATTAGCTAAGCAGGATGTGGGAACAGCCACGTTCAGCATTGGTTCAACTACTGTTACCTACCTCTCAACCGATGTCAGTCAGCTACAACATACGACTAGGCACATATATGCAAATCCCGTCAGGAATTTGAGAAAACTGAGTGTCAGAGCGTTCCCTCTTCATTTACGGCCAGGCATAATCAGAATAAAATGGTCTATCCGCTTTACTTATTGTAATTCGGCAAACAACATAATTTTACTATCAAGACATCAGGAAAACGTCCTAGTTAGGAATCCTTTACTCATACCTTCACTCAACAACGCCATGCTACTTGTGTAACGCAAGCTACACAAATTTCTACTTAATGGACAAAATATACGACTTAGTCAGATGCACATTACGCAAGGCACCAGACAGCAAGATTAAGGAAACTTCTACATTATTTCGTGTGATGTACAGTGCTTTGATAGCTGTGAAAAACTCAAAATGTGACTAGCTTACGTACATCAAGCGGAGGTAATGACCACAATCACTGCTATGGTGTTTAAGCAATGAAAACAGACATATGAGTGTCATTAAAGTAAGCGTGACCGAAACCCATAAAACAAAAGCCTCAACATAACGATGTCAAGATTATAATACGGTGAAGCCGACTGACTAGTCAGATAGCAAAAAGAGAAAGATAAGGTAGCATACATCCATTTATATTTCAACTAATTTACTTCATTCTCATACTCTTGACGATGGCCGTTAACTCTTCTCTTTTCCTTTTAGCTCTTCTGTGTCCACCAATGCGACGCTTAGCGAATTTGAGTGCCCTTTTTTCCTTATCGTTTTTCAGCAACTCAAGCATACGCTTTTCAAATGGAGCAAAGCCCACTACCTCACGTATTAGACTTCGTGCAAACTTTGCTTGTTTGGTTAAACGCTAAAGGATCATTTCAGTTTGAAAATAAACTTACCCCTCTTCTGTTTGAAGGCTTTTTGGGACGGATATTATTTGTTCTCTTGAGACCGTTCTCTCGACCAACGCAGACAGGATACTTCCTAATGTGGCTCATTGTCACGCAGTCCTTGTGACCTAGACTACTCAAATGCCGCCGGACACTTGATAGATCAGAAGAACAAAATACTCAGTTCTGAATTATAGAAATTCGTTCAACTTATGTCAATTTTTGAGGCTTCTTTTCCACTGTAGACCTAGTTTCTTTTTCAAGGAGTTCACAGACGGGTCTGATAACATTTGTTCGGGTAGTGTTCCAGACATTGACCAATCGTCAGGAAAAGCAGAAAACTATTCTGAGTTTATTTAATCACGGTTCCCAGACATTTTTACTGTGACCTCGGAGGTGATTATATTTCGAGGTGGCGAAGAGATGGTAGCACCCAAATCACGAAAACAGATACGGAATGACAATACACGGTCACCTCGCTTTGTACGATAACACAAGGGGGAAATATTTGAAAATACCTATCAGTAACTTAGTTCTCAAAAATCAAACATGCTTGAATGGGGTAGTAAGACGTCACTTGAATCGCCACGTGAGTGAGGTATTATTCCCAGAGCATATCTTCATCGTAGTGCAACACTTAAAAAACTCCGACAGCCCCTTTAGTGTGATTTATCTTAAGTCTGAAGTAAAATACACACTGATCACCTTTTCCTCATAGGAATAAGCATTGAATATTGATTACATAGTCACGATGGTGTGTGAAGACAAACTGCAACAATGATGGTTCATGCACTAAGTCAACATAAGTCGGCTTCGCGATGCATTAGGTGAATGCGAACTAAATAACAGTTGACAGTAGAAATTCATCAAAAATTCCATCTAAAGCTACAAGCTTCATCTAGGTGATGTGTGGTGTGTTGAAGTCCTCTATGATGTAACAGTCAACAACCCTAAATCACGTGCAGAAGTGGCATGAGACAAAGTCAATGGTAAGATGATGTGGACTCGACATATCTCTCTTATAGTTAGTAATCCATGCCTCGGTTCGATTGTTCAGCCAGATACCTCAAATATACCACCATCATGCACCCCCGATGTATTTGACTATACGCGGAATTGGTCTCTAGCAGACACCATGTGACCCTCCCTCTGCTTCGGTTTATAACCCTAAAACATCTGACGTAGATATGTCCTACAATAATTGGGGAACAGATCATATCTCCAGTGAGCCATGTTTCTGTGACAACAATGATATCGCGACCTAATTTCTCTCATCATTAAGCTTGGCTCGTACATTTTAATTTTTTAAACTACGAGCGTACTTGAAGTACACACTTAAGATTCTCAGGAATCACTGGCTCTACACATACAGATCTCTTTAGTACTGGCTCTAAAGATCTCACAACCCTATTGCCTCAAGTCCGTAATATCAATACTAAAGTTATACTTGATGGTTTCAACAAAATTGACTCCTAAGGTTTGTTTCTCCGCTTTGTTTTTGAGTTCTTGACTCAATTAGAACGTTATTCTTCTTGAATAAATCCTGAAGTGACCAGGCTGGTGAGGTACGAATATTCCAGCAAAAAAAGCTTATGCGTTAATCAGTATAATGTTTTTTTCATCTTTACTCCCTAGAACTCACCTCCGTATTCCCTTTAGTTGTGTCTCTCTTCAAACACACTTACTGAATCTTATTACTTTAGGAGTGCGTACGGACGAGGCCTCTTCTCGAGTTGCATTTCTGGTAGCAGCCTTCACCAACCTCAGATCATTGGCCTGGCGTTCAGTAGGTTCACTTTCTTTTGACATTAACAGACTCCAAATAATTAAACTGGGACGTATTTGACTTCTTCGAAAGTCGTGTCAACAGCATTCGATTGTTTTTAATTTTCACTTATTTACGTTATTTGACTTCTTTTGCTAGGGAGTTTTGCTCCCTTCAGATAGTATAATTTAACTTGCCCTATAAGCAGTGTTTAGAATAAGTTGAATTTCGAGCAGTGACAATTTAGTTGTACTGACAATCCGAGACTTATTAAGATCATTCATGCCAATAATCCGCACAGACGTCCACCTTTTTCTAAGTGCTGACAATAAGGATCACAGCTTTTTCATCAAGGTTATAAGCAGATTAGACAGAACTGACGTGTCAACTCGTAGATTCAACCTCGGCTAATTTCGGAACCAATGGACAACTTCAGAACAAGAATCCCTGAGACTTCGTTAAGAGGGATCATTTTGGTTAGACATCGATCTCTACACAGTCAAGTTAAAGTCGGTGACAGGAAAGTTTAAGCGCGGCCGATAATAACTTCGTTGACATTTCGGGAAACCATCTCAAACGACCAGTCTACTTCGAGTAAAAAGTAAGGAGTAACATATACCTACGGAAACCGATATCATACACCTGCAAAGTAAAGTAAGGGAAACGAAACTTAGGTTATGATGTGGTCTGAGCATGTAAAGGGCTCATGATGTTTCAGTGGGGCACAGATGTGTTTGCGAAAGCTTCATCAAGAAGTCTTACAAACGTATGTAATCCATCTGCAATGTGTACTTCAGTGGAAAGTCTGTTCTGTATCAATGCACATATGGTGAGAAAGACGTTTCCAAGAATTTGTGCCTTGTATTTTCCAACCTTGATAGTGAGTACCTTTTTCCGAAGGTCGTGTACATTTGGGCGTTGGGTCGGAAGTGTATCACAAGTAGAGTAAGACTTTCGAGTAGAGAGTAAGAATGGAACTTTGGATCTTTTCCTAGAAGAAAACTATAAACAATGAGTTAGTCGGTTTCGAGCATTTCGCAAGTCATGTCCCGTTGAATTTCTTTCACTTTAAGTCAATTGGATGAGCGTAAGTTGGAAAATAAGAACGATCAGTATCCAGGTCTCACACACATCTTGTCAAGAATGATTTGAGGTTCATTTTGGAAGAAACTAAGAAGAATGAAGCCTAGCAGTTTTCGCAGTTTAGATGCTTTGCTGGAGATATGTTTAGACTGTGTATTTAATCTACCCCTAAGTCAGTTACTGATGTAAGTTTGGGCAGTACGTTCTTGGTATGTTGGTTTTATTTTAAAAGGCATGCCTCCAATACATAAAAAGCCGCATTTCTTTGTGTTCAGTTCCAATCTTCAATGCTTACACCAGTCATCTACCTTGTTGAGTTCATGCTGGATTGTGTGCGGAATACCACGCACATCGCAAACGTTAGTTTAGTAGATGACTTTCAAGTCGTCAGCGCGACTGTAGGTCTTACCTATGTAAAAGTACCTGGACATATTGTTGATATAAATTTTAAAAAGGAATAGACCCATGACATTACCCTGCACAGCACTACTGGCTATTGGCTGAGGTGTAGATATTGTAGATTCAATTTTGGTTATTCGGTATGTATTCGTCATTAAAAAATTAATCCATTGCAATAGTGGTTAGTAATTCCAACTGACTTAAGTCTGTTGATTAGGAGGTAATGAGGTACCATACCAAGAGCTTTCCTGACATCACTAGTTTCTTTTGGTCACATATGGTCACATCACGTTAATGTAGTCTATCAGCCATATACTGACTGACTTTGTTCTAGTGAAGCTGTATTGCGACGGGTCAATTAGATTAATTTGAAAGGAAAAATCTCCAAATATTTGTAATTGGAAACAACTATTCACCCTCCAAAGCGTTGGTCCTAAATTAAAACTTCTAGATGTTTGAATCAACGCTTTATTTTTGAAGAACTTTCGAAGGACGATTTTACATGTTAGAGATAACTTTCGTTATTTGGACCCGTAATGAAATAACTATAGACCAATGGATGATAGACGTCTAAGCCTAGGGATTCTTTGTCGGTAAACCGTTAGAGGCTGAGACCTAAATACAAACCTTTATCAAGTTTTTACCTTAAAATAAGGTCAAACCTTTCATGATAATTGTCGAATCACTGATACTGGGTATGAGTTGAAGCCTGAAGCGATTCTTTTAGTGAGTCATCTAGAACTACTTTTTAGCTCAGCAAGATTATTACACCTCACAGTTCCTAATCTTCTCATGAATAAAAGTTGCGATGATATTGTATAGTCTACACGTAACCCTGACCATTCGTAACCTATATATGGGTGTTTTGTCACAAAACGGACATCTTACCATATGAACAGTCCCAGTTCGCTTAGAATTACTGACAAACAAAATCCATCGTTTTGGTGAGCAGTGAAATGCCTGAAATAACAGAAATCTAATGCAATGGTCTTCGCAAAGCAACAACGAAATGAAAACTCCGTTATTCGTATGTCGTGATTAGCTTTTCGTTTATTGTCTATAGAATGGGTATAGCTTCTCTTTTAAAATGGATCAACACCAGTTGAAGTACGTTACTTCCTACATCAGTATCAGTATTTTCACTACCATATCGAAGATTTGTGAATTCGTATATTAACTACTGCACCCGATTGCGGCTGATGTGTAACAAACTAAAATTTAGCACTGGAGTTTAAATGGTTATAGAGTTTCTTACAATAGCGAAATGTTTAGCCCTGATGCCAATTTGATTGTATGACATTGTTAGAGAGATCAACATTCCACCTACCCTGGTATATTAGTGTTGATTTAATTTACTATGAAGAATAAGGGAACAAATTAAGTCAAATACGAGAATAAGTTTGGGATAAGTATATTTCAATAATTCAAACGACTAAAATTCTGCCCTCCAAGTTAGAGGATATTCATTCAGAATAATTGAATCCTTATGGCTAAGACTGAGATTCTTCGAACATCATGAAGCTAATGTTCATTATGACGACTGGAGCAACAATTAACAAAGTTAAGTAGAATGCCTAGAAAACATGAGACCGGGCGAACCCATTATATAGCTGTGGGAATGAGAAGAAACAACTTTGGGGTGCTTGGAATACGCAAAACCTATCTGACCCAAGCTGGACATCAAAAGTCGAGATTCATGAGAGATGTTCGTGTACTCTGGTCAGAAAGAAAGAAAATGTTCAACACGCAGGGAGTTGCTACGATGCTGACCAACGAAGTACGTAAAGCACTTAAAGGATGTGGATCTCATGGATTCAGGATCATCAAAGTGTTCTTCAAAATGAAGAAGCAATGAATGTTATCCAATGCTATGTTCCACTAATAAATGTTAAGCATTGGTTATCGTTCATATCCAAATGCCTTGCTGCTCGGTTTCCTTTTCTTCTTTTTCTCTTCAGAATCTTGCTCTGAGGGTGAAGCTATGTAACTTCTGACATCTGGAACAAGCTCGACGAACGCGCTTTTCCAAGGTCATAGTTCGAACCAGGCGCTCCGCAAGCCTACTTTATAACAACTATAAACTTAAATAAATACTTAGCTCGACCAAAACCCTAATACACTTTTTGTCGAGAATGGATCTGGTATGTAGCGCGGATGCGATGCCCCTTTGGAAACTATTCTTATGAAAACACATTATATCTGAACGAATGAACTGCTATCAACTTTTGTAGATTATAATTACTAAACAACCTTGCTTGAGATGCATACCGTGAACCAG